ATTCACAATGAAATTAAAATTAAAACGCTTTTTTTTTACTCAAATGAAAATCAATATATAAAATATAAAAATAATAATATAATAAAAAAAAAATTATATATGTATATATATATATATATATGTTATATATATTATAGTTTTAGTCAACTATATTAACCCTGAATGCAACACATTTAAACACACAGGTGAAAGTGAACACTAATGAATATTTGAAGAGAGTGAAACACACGCACACACACATTGATCTTCAGTTCAGAGCCGCTTGACACACGAACATGGACTCGTCTGTGAGTAACAACACACTCATAATCTCATCTATTTGATGCATTTCTGCTCGTGTTTTGTGTGAAATATGAGTTTAACGCTGATTGGGATGATTTCTAGCGTGTGTGTTTGTGTGTTGTAGGTGGTTGACGCAGGAAGAGCTGAGGAAGAGTGTGAGACAGCAGACAGGAAGAGGAACCTGCAGGACCTCCTCAGACAGGAAATGGACATGCATCTTACTGGTAGGCATGAGGAGACTCACATCAGTCTTTCAGATGATGATGGTGATGATGATGATGATGATGATGTCAGAGGGCAGGGCCAGCATCCAAAGGAATCAGGAGAGAGTGAATGGTATCACACAGCTGAAAGAGGAGATCAGGTTACAGGAGACGCACAGAGAATCCGACCAATCACACACCACCAGCACAGTGAGTGACCAATCAGGAGACACTGCGGAGAAACTCAATCCACTGCTGACACCTGATAACAGTTAATCATCTGACTTCTGCCTCCTCTACCCTAGTACAATATTTATTATTTTAAGTGAGCTTTTATTTTTATATTTCAGTTATTATTTTAATGTTTGTTTGAGTTTTAGACATTTTATTTAATAATTGTATTTTTTTATTTTTTTATTTTTATTAGGTCATCTTATATATATATATTACTAAAACTATTTAAAATTATTTTTGGTAATTTAAATAAAGCTGAAATGAAACAAAATACAAATATTACATGAACAATGACAAATAGAAATGTTGCTAAATATATATTTAGCTTTTATTTAGCAACATTACTATTTCACTATTTCTATTTAAATTACCAAAAAATTATTTTAAATAGTTTTAGTAATTTCAGTAATTTTATTATATGATTTTCTCATTGTTATTAGATAGTCTTTTTTTTCATATTTCTATTCAGCTTTATTTTTATTTGTAGTTTTTGCACTTTAATTAAACTTATTTCTTTCAGTTAGTTTCCAAGGCAACATTTCTATTTGTCTTCTATTTGATAGATTTGATTTCAGCTTTATTTAAAGAAACGATAGTTTTAGTTAACAATACCAACACTGGTTGCTCATATAATTTGTAATGAAGAAGTTGAATTAAATTAGAAAAATGCAAGTAAGCACATACAGTATGTACTACCAAAAATTTTAAATAGTTTTAGTAATTTCAGTAATTTTATTATATGATTTTCTCATTGTTATTAGATAGTCTTTTTTTCATATTTCTATTCAGCTTTATTTTTATTTGTAGTTTTTGCACTTTAATTAAACTTATTTATTTCAGTTAGTTTCCAAGGCAACATTTCTATTTGTCTTCTATTTGATAGATTTGATTTCAGCTTTATTTAAAGAAACGATAGTTTTAGTTAACAATACCAACACTGGTTGCTCATATAATTTGTAATGAAGAAGTTGAATTAAATTAGAAAAATGCAAGTAAGCACATACAGTATGTACATAATCTGATCAACCAGTGAAACATAAACTACAGATGACTCGTCTTTATGAATCTATGTGAAATTATGATTGTTTATAAACAATACAAAATGCATACATTAAAATAATCTCCCATTTATGAAAAAAAAAATACTCTACTTCATGATTTCTTAAGCACTAGTGTGTGTGTGTACCTACTTAACCATATTTTGGGGATAAATTTGTACCCAAAAGTGAGCAAAACCTGACAAAATTGCCAAAAACCTCCATTTGGGGACGTCCTCATTTGTAAAACTGGTATAAAAAATAAAGTAAACAAAGTTTTTTTGAAATTGTAAAAATGCAGAAAGTTTTCTGTGAGGGGTGGGGGTGGGTTTAGGTTAAAAAGTGTATAACTATCTGTATATAAAAACAATCGAAGTCTATGTAATGTCCCCATTTAGATAGCTAAGTAAACGTGTGTGTGTGTGTGTGTGTGTGTGTGTATGTCTCTCAGGCGGATCATGAGAAACTCCTGGAGCGCAGAACAAGACTGAGAGAGACTCACGAGAGACTGATCGAGAATGAACTGATGAAGATGGAGAGAGAATTACAGGAGGAGCAGGTGAGAGCGGCGGACATCATGAAAAAGAACAAAAATCAATACATCTAAAAAAAAATACAAAGTCATGTATTTATATCAAAATGTTCTCCCTATTCACCTTTGTGTGTGCTTTAAGCTTATTGTGTTTTTAATAAAACAGATATGTCCAGTCCTGGCTTCTGATTGGTCAATGCGTTTATAAAATGTTGTATATAAATAGTTGTCAGTGTTTTAGACCTATAACAGTTATCATTGTGGCTTTCAAGTGAGTTCTGGTTGAGGCAGACAAGCAGTACACAAGCAGAGCTCAAACGGGCCGTTCTGATCATGTGACTGACTCTGTCCCGTCTGCAGATGGCTGGTGTGGAGGGCGAGATGTCATACCTGCGCAGAGAGAGACACATCCTGGTTCTTCAGATGGAGGCGCTGCGCAGGGAGAACCAGCAGGTGTATGCAGACCTGGAGAACCAGAAGCGACAACACCAGCAGCAGATCAGTAACCTCAGAGAAGAGAGTCTGCAGGTGAACATCTACATTTATGCTGTTTTCTTTTTTATTACAATGTGTTTTTATTTATGTTGATTTTTTAATTTAATATTACAAGATGGTAGTCAAATTACAATCAGCTATAAAAAATAAAAGTTTCGTAAGGGGAGATGCCATAGAAAACCATCTTTGGTTCCTCAAAGAAGCTTTCAGTGAGCAGTTCTTAACAGAACCATTCTTATCCTTAGTGTGAAGAACATTTTAAGAAACTAAAGGACTTTTATTCCAATATAACTAAATATATGAACAGAAAAAAAAATAGACTCAATCAAATTATTCTAAACACAAAAACAGGCATATCAAAGAGCACAAAATTATCACAGGTATATTAACACAATTATATAACAAATTATATTTATTAAAAATCTAAATCAACAAAATCCCAGCTTTTAATTCTTAATTTTCAACAAGGCTTTTAGATAATGTATGAAATATTTTTTTTTGAAAATTACAAACGTGTGTGCAATATTTAATAAATATTTGCTTATATATATATACAGTGGGTACGGAAAGTATTCAGACCCCCTTAAATTTTTCACTCTTTGTTATATTGCAGCCATTTGCTAAAATCATTTAAGTTAATTTTTTTCCTCATTAATGTACACACAGCACCCCATATTTATCAAAGAGCACAAAATTATCACAGGTATATTAACACAATTATATAACAAATTATATTTATTAAAAATCTAAATCAACAAAATCCCAGCTTTTAATTCTTAATTTTCAACAAGGCTTTTAGATAATGTATGAAATATTTTTTTTTGAAAATTACAAACGTGTGTGCAATATTTAATAAATATTTGCTTATATATATATATATAAAAGCAAATATTAAATATATATAAGCAAATATTTATTAAATATTGCACACACTTTGTAATTCAAAAGAGGTGACTTTATTGTTGCATAATTTTGTGGCTAAAGTGTTATTTAGCACTTTGGTTGACTCTGCCATTATTAAATGTGCTATATAAAGAAACTAAACTAACTATTATAGCGGCGACTTTTTCCCAGTTCTGAAGGTGACACGTGACATGAGACACATTTATGCTCATGCAACTGAAAACATGAAAAGGAATGCAAATAAATTTAGCGCTCACATAAACTTTCAGAATCTGAAATCAGATTGGATTCATTCAGATTGATTCCTAATTGAAAACTGACATCACTTTCAGTCTGTTTCTCATACAACCATCAACAATCAACATATTAATAAGAAATCAAATTGTTCCTCATACAAGCCATCATATTAATTTGAAGAATATCGTGTATACACACACACACACACACACATTATGTAACTGTATTTCCTTTAATATATCATTATTCTGTCATCTAGTGGTCTGAATGGGTGTTTTTGTGCTGGATGTGTGTAGGTGTTCAGAGTGTTTCGTGAGGTTCTGGAGGAACAGAGGTGCAAGTCTGAGAGAAGGTACAGGGATCTGCTGTTAGACGCCATTCAGGATGCTGTTCATCTGTCCTCACAAAACCTGCAGCTCCAGAAAGCTCTCAATCCCACTCCATGACACATCTGATCCAACGCTTATTAATTCATCTGTGGGTCTTAAAAAGTCTTAATTTGCCCTTCCATAAATGAAGAGCTAAAAACATCTTAAATCAAAGCAGAAACTCTATAGAAATTCGTATGGTCATGGCATTAAATGTTGCATGCAGTGCAAAAAGAATATCTTCCACACTGTCTTTTTCCCCCAATACAAATATCTAAACATCTTTAATCACAACACATTTACAAACCGAACAGTATGATGTCTTGCTTTCTGAGAAATTGAACTAAATAAAGTGAGTTTATGCTTTAAAACAAAAACAAACATCTGTCAAGCTGGAATGAGAACTTGTTTTCTTTTCGAATTAAGTAGATTTTTCTGATTTTTCTCAATACCTCAATATTCACGAAACACATCAGAGACGGTGTTGTTATTGTTAACTAATACTAAGACTATTAAAAACCCATTTATCTTTTTGTTAATTGAAATAAACCAGAAATAAAACATACATTTTAGATGCAACGGAAATAAAATAAATGTAAGTTGAAGTAAAATAGTAAAATTTCAAATATGGAAATAAAAATAAAGCTAAATGTTGGCAAAATAAATTAAATAAAATGACAAAAAAAACAAAACAGAAAATATAAAAATAAAACAAATTCAAAATATTAATAAATAATATTATAGTATAAAAAAATAAAACAACGATCAGAAAGACACAGCATTTTTCTGTACAATAAATATTAAACACCTCATTATTAAAAACACTTGACTAGGCCACTGAATGATCCATTATATTTATTTGCATAAATATGCCTTAAATAAATGTGTGCTGTACCATTCATTTCAACATTTATTTTGAAAATAAAATACTGCATATGAATAAAAACAATACATTAGCAGACATTCAGTCTTGATGAGACTCGTTCATTCACAGTAAAGATGCACTTCTAGAAGGAGGACAAAGGCAGAAGACAGAGATATCTGAGGGCACATGCTGAAAAAATAAACAATAAAATCAGCAATAAAGTCATCTTTGGTGGCGTCCCATCTACCTGTAATACAGGTATACGGCCCATCCAATCAGCAGCACGGGAAACAGGAAGTAAGGTGTGAGATGTATTCCCAGAATCCCCCATGACAACACGCCATTCACCAGCATAGAAGAGATGACAAACAGTCGCGTGATTCCCGTTCCGTGTTTCATGACGACGGACACGAGGAGCCCGTTAGCAGCCTGTCCCACAACAATGAGCCACACGAGAGTGGAGAAACCCTCAAAAAAACCACTGCCGCCCGCCGCCAGAGAGATGAGACGCCAGATTGATTCCCACGCCGAAGACATACAGGAACAAGTTCTGGAGACTCAAAGGCAGATGCTGGGTTTCCAGCACCCGTTCGGTGTAAACGCCGGCCAATCCTGAGATGAAACAATAGACAAGCACCAACAGCAGACCCCGGGATGAGACGTGAAGCCTGACGGCGGATTCGTCTGACGCTTCCCAATCCAAACTGGAGTAGCTGTGACAAACTCGGGCAGTTACGGCGCCACCGTCAACACTGATATTTTGAGGCAGGCTAGATTCCCAGATGCCAAGAGAGCTGCGAACGAAACCACGAGCTTGATGAACTCGATCAGAAGCACACATGACGACAAGCTGAAGGGAACGCGGCCGTGAGGGAGATGAGAGGAGCGTGGGAACCGTAAATAAGAACCAGGAGAAGGAGGGTCTTCTGCGAGGAGGTTCTGCTTCAGATGAACCAACATTATCTATCATAATCATGCAACAGCTGCTTCTGAAAGTACAGGAAGAAGTTCTACAAAAGACTGAAACAAAGCACCGGGACAAGCGTAAGTCTTCAACGGTGAAGTATGAAACAAAACGGACATGATGCTAGAGCTGCATGATTTGGGGCTAAAAATCTGATAAGAATTTTAATAAAAATTTTGATTGAAATGATTCATTTTTATTTTTTTGAGGTTTGCTGTGCTAGTTTGTAGGACTGCACAATTTGGCCAAAGATTTTGTGATTATATATCCATATGATTATAAAATAATAACAACAATAATAAAAATTACTAGTTTTACTACTCTAAATAAAAATATGAATATTGTAATTTCACTGAAAAAAAAAGAAGAAAAAAAATAAGAGTATTCAAGAAAAATTATATTAATTATTAATACTATTAAAAATAATAGTATAATACTCTACATATATATGTGTATAAGAATTTTATTTTACAGTACAGCTGTAAAATTACTTTTTTTTACTAAATTGTTATTATTGCTACTAAATAAATATACAAAAAAGAAATATTACCACTGTAATTTCAATGTAAAATAAAAAATTTGTACTTAAGAATGATATTATAATATAATAAATGTATCTTATAGTACAGCTGTACAATTTTTTTTTTTTACTAAATTATTACTAAATAAAAATGACAAAAAATATTACAATTGTAATTGCACTTAAAAAAGTATTTAAGAAAAATAATATTATAAAACAAAAATCATGTAACATTTTTAACTGTAAAATTACAATACTAATATTTATGTGTCTTAATTTCTTCATTTTCAAATGTTAAACCGACTGAGCACAGTGCCACATTTCACTCTGAAACACGCATCACATATTTATTTAATTAAATGGCCATTGCAATTTGATAATCGTACTAAGCTCTATTGTGATTTTGATTTTATTCTGATTAATTGTGCAGCCCTACATGACGCCCACTTTTCATCATAACAGTCTTCATTATTCAAGTCCAAATCCACGCTCATATATAGACCTCGAAACACGGTTTTATCTAATCCAACAGTATTGTTCAGGAGGGAAGGAGCTCTGATGTGACGCTGAATGACACAAAAGCAAGCAGCAATGGCGCATGTTCTCCTCTTCAGTCTGAATTTGGTTGCTAAGGAGTTGTTAATCACTCGGTCCTTTCTTCAGAGAGTTCAGGAAGTCTCGTAGGCTCGTCTCGATGTTGGGCACCTGATAGTTCTGAGCGGCGTAGATTCCCGTCAAGGTTCCCAAAGCCACTCCCAGGATGGCTGAGGAACGCAGTTTGGAAATCACATACCCGGCCAGGAATCCTTTCAGGAAAGGAGACGCTAAAAATGAGCCACCCTAAGAAACACAAACAGGACAGCCCGTTTCAGCTGCTGTCAATCTTAATGTATATGAAGTGCAACTTGTTTAGAAAATACTACTTTTTCTTATTTTTAATTGGACAGGAGTTTTTGGACTGGGGTCCGGGGATGTCAAGGGGGTGGTAGGGGGTCCGTAAAAAAATTGGGGGGGGATTTATTTATTTTTTTACAAAATACACTTAAGCTATTATGTATTTTTTATTCACTAAATTATATTTTTTATAAAATTAATAATATAATTACAATAATACATACAAAAACAATAATAATATTCATAAATATTTTGCTTTCTAAAGACAGGTAAAAAAAAAAATCATCATTTTTTTTCAAGAAAATATTTTAACAATTTGTTTTATTTATTTATTTAATTCGGAAACATTTATTTAATGTTGTTGTCATAATCAGGGTGATTAGTTAACTAAAACCATGAAAAAACTTGTTACTTGAAATAAAAGATAAAGATTTTTTTTTTTAAATATACCTATTTTAGGCAAGGCAACATTTCTCATTTTCACATAGTTTATACTAATGTACTAAAATAACAAAATTAATTAATAAAACTGAAATAAACATTAATAAAACTTATATTAACAAATAAAAAAAAGATTAAACTATCAAAAACACACAAAACTACTAAAACTTTAACTAAAATTAAAACGAAAACAGAAAATATAAATGAAAATACAAACAATATAGATCAAATTTAAAATTTAAATACTAATAAAACTACCAAAAACAGACAAAAAAATGAAATCAGAATTTTTTTTTTTTTTTTAAACTAATAAAAATTAAAATAGTATCTTTATACTAAAATAAAACTGGTCATAATAATAATAATAAATATAATATTATCCTCACATAGTATAAATAGATTTTATACATAAAAATGTACAGCTACCTTTATATTTATCAATGGGGTCCCTCACAAGGGGACCATCTCATTACAAAATAAAACTATTCATCAGTACAGCACCACACTTTCTGTGTGTGTTCTTTAGTAATATTTAGGATCAGTCGTGGTTCTGGTTCTGTGGTACCTGAGGGATTCCAGCTTGAACCTCATTCTCCACCTTCTTCTGGATCTCCTCAAGCTGGTCTTTGAGCTGAGCCAGATCCTTCAGTCGGGTCACCGGATCCTGAAACAGACCGGTGACCCAAACCATGCTGTTAGATATGATTAGACAACACAGATGACAGCTTGACGACAGTGATCCGTTTTACTCGATGTCAAGGCACTTTCAGCCCTGGTTAACGAGATCTTATGTTTGATGTTTTGTTTTCTATGAGAGCTGTCAAATGCCAAGAGTTCAGAAACACAGCAGTGACTTTACATAACTCCACTAAAGCTTTACAACAGCGCTAATTAACAAACAGCAGCTGCCATTGATAGCACAGCGCTTAAATATACACGACACACCCGACTTGTTCTTATCTGTACAGTAATTCATTTTAAAACAGGGTTTGCTTTACAGACAGCTACACTTTCTCTCACCTTGTCCTCCGCCATACTGCAGAAATGACAAACGATTCAATCTGCGCTCGACTCGCCTGGTCTGAATCTGAATCATCACGACTCGCTCGAACACCACACACAAATCACGCCTGACTGCTGTGAATATATTTTATCTTATTATGTTTTCGTTAGAATTAACAATATAAGCAAAAAAGAAGCGTTATGTATAAATTGCAATTATAAATACATGAGCTTCTCAAAATAGACAAAGCTTAGCGACTCGAAATCTCTGTAATTTCTCAGGTATGAAGGCTCGAGAGTAGAAATAATAAAAATCACATTATAAATCTATATGCTTTTTCAATTAAATGCCTATTAAAGTTTTTCAGTGTCATTACTGATGTGTAAATAAACGATGCTAAAGTAGACAGCGATGTCACGTGATACCCGTTACTTTTCTCATCGCTCTTCACGGTTGCCCAATCACTGTCGCTCCTCATTACAGTTGTGTGTTATCATTCAATAGAGATTGAAGGGGATGGTTTCTGTTTGCGTCTCAGGAAAAGATGCCTGTAATCAAAAGATTTATATGATGCTAATTTCTCTTGGATACAAACGCCAACATTATGAAAACATGT